CGAAAGTCAAAACATAAGTACCCTATTTCGGACTGCGTCCGAACGGGGACTAAAAACCACTGAATGGAATGGTTTAAATTTTTCTATAATGATAGTTCCTAATATGAACTGGTGCACCTGACTTTCAGATTTTTGATTCGTCAGCTGGTTTAGTAGCCACTTTTTGATTGGATGTGCTACCAATTTTACAAATAAAATCTTTAGTGGTCGGGTGACTTTTTCTACAATTTCTTCAGAACCAATGAACATATTGATGTGAAATTTGGTATGGCAGAGCTTTTGTTGATTTGTCAAATAGTTTAGCTGCCACCTTTGATTTCTCCTAAATACATGTACAATGTACATGTAGGGAATAATTTTTACTGATGCTACAGTTATTCAATTCCTTTGAAAGTTTCTGTGTTACATCTGTTTACTGAACTCCTTCAGTTTCGATCAGTCATGTAATTTTGCTGTCATTTTTGATTTTCAACAAAAAATGACTAAAAGTTTGGGCATTTGTTTCTCATGAATTTCTTTAACCAATCAATTACAGCAAAAACTTTTTACAAGAAAAATAAAATAATTTTGATCAGTTGAATGGTTTGGCCACTGTTTTGATTTGCATAGCTTACAAAATGAACACGATATCATCAACATGGCAGTCATTGCTACTCACAGGGCGTGTTGTCTGTTGCATAAATCAGTGTAAATACAAACAATCAGAACTAAATTTGGTATATTTTTTGAGTGAGCTTCGCTGTCGACTTTGTCGAGCGGAGCTTATTATATGAGTTTATGAGCTTATTATATGATTGTCCATTGTCAGTGTCAACTTTTTTGCTCCGCTGTCGACAAAGTCAACGATGTGGAGCTCTTCATATACTTATTGTCTGTTGTCAACTTTTTCCATTTTTATCTTCTTCTTCAAATCCGTTAAACCAAATGCTTTCATATTTGCAAGATAGATTCTTGGGGTAGTCCTGAGTCAGATTTGTTCATTTTGTGATGATATCGTCAATTCTCTAATTTTGAAAAATGTTTTTGTCATTTTTAGTAAAAAGGCTTGAATATTGTAGCGTTATATGGAATGGTATCTATCAAATTGATGTCAAACGCATTGAAAGAGTCCAGCATAATTTTTTGTAAATTTGTATATACCTGGACCTGGACACACAATATGAAATTATGTGCAATGCTTTAAATATAGCCACATTAGCAGAACGCAGATATTATTTTGATATGGTTTTTATGTGTCAGTGTGTCTTGGGGTTGTACAGTTGTTGTAAATTATCTTCTTTTTTTAGCTCCGCTGTCGACTTTGTCGAGCGGAGCTTATCATATGAGTGATTGTCCGTCGTCGTTCGTGTCAATGTTTTACTTTTTCGACTTCTACTTGAAAACTACAAGCCTGAATGCTTTGATACTTGGTGTATATGTACCTTCGGTAGA